GAGAGAGAGAGAGAGAGAGGGAAGGGGTAGGGAGAGACATGATTTCGATCGATTGGAGTTGGAAAAAAAAAAAAATACGTATCCAGCATCGCAACGTGCGACTCGTGATTTTTAAAAACTTGGAGATATGTTTTTATACCTCGTCTTCGAGGGAAATAGAAGCAGCAAAAGAAAAAGAAGAAATATACGCGGGATTTAACTAGAAAAGCAACGTACTCTGGGGAGGAAAAAAATGCTTATTCCCCGGCTAAAGAAACCGCGAGAACGGTCGCGATATTGGCTTTTTCCGCTCGAACGTAATCAAGGCGCAAGTGGTACTCGAACAACTAGACGACACAAGAGGACCTTAACGGAAAGTCGATGTTGGTACACGATAGGGAACAGAGGGGAGAAGTGTTCGCGAGACAGCATGCATCGATATCGGTTTTCAATGAAACGGAAACTCGAAACACACCGTGGAATTTCGTCCATTAAATTCGCGATGACGAATATGGGAATAGAATTTATCGCATCCCATCCCTCCCCTTTTATCCCACCCCCGATACCATCCTTTCTTCTTTTCCTTCTCTTCCTTCGAACCGCGAAAACGTTCCACGGTTTAGAACGGTAATATCGCGCGATAAATTATCGCCGCTTTAGCGAAGCGAAATCATTTTTCCCCGGCAAAGGGCCGCGAAGAAGAAGAAGAAGAAGAAGAAGTTTCAAACCCCGTGTAATTTCCATGTATCACGGGCGAGAATTATTCTAAAAATCGATCCTCCACCACCGTCTCGAATTGAATACAGAAAAGGGATGAAATTGGAAATTGGTATGAATGAAACGCTACCGATGAAATAAATTTCCACGGAACGTAGATACGCACGATTACGAGAGGCAGTCGAGGGCCGTGCCAATTATGGCATATTTAATAGAAATTAATGGAAACATCAGGACAAAAGGTGTATCGATCCAGGTTTCTCGTATCGAGTTTTCGCTCGAGTTCTCGAAACCGGTCATTCGAACGACCAGAATTCCCTTTTTAAGTAAAGGCTTGCTCGTTCCCCTTTTCCCGAAACGATCGAACGCGAGCTATACAACACCTACTTCGTGCAAACTCATAGTCGAGGATATTCGTTATTTTTTTCGATCCGTTTGAGCACCGAATCGCTCCTTCCTGAACTGGCCAGAATCAAGGTGGAGGCCAATTTCAGAAAGAAGGTGAAGGTGAATCGAACGAAGTGGCAGACGTCAAACCGTCGGATGTCAAGCCGAGTCGTATATAATTACATCGTTACGTGTACACACATCGGGTGGTAGGTCTTCTTGACAGACGCATTCGCATGCCGCTTCGTTTCCACGCGAGTTGCAGTTCCTAGGATTTCATTACGCCTCCCCCCGGGCCTCATAATTACGAGAAGGATGGATAGTCGTTAATTACATAGAAAGCCGATGCTTCTCCTTCGTTCTCCTTTCGTCGCTATCTAACCAAGTTTGTTCTAACGTGCTCCCTTTGAAAATTCTAGCGAGCTTTGCGCCAACGTATCGCCATCGATAAAATCGTATCGATTTTAACTTTCTTTCTTTTTTCAATGCAATCTACCTTTCTACCTTCTTTTTTCTTTATTCCTTTTTCCTCCAATTGCGATTTTTATAACATTCGAATAATTGAAACTGCGATCCACGCGTGGATTTTTAATATCAAAGAATAACCACCACTACTACTATTACTACTTACTATTACGTTCGATAACGGTATTTCAACGAGGATACTTCGAGGATACATTTTCGAAATTAATCGCGGAACGAACCGATTTCTGTACGAAACTATCGCGACCGAAAGGAGATGGGGTCGAAAGTCTCTCTGTATATAATCTACGATTTTCGTGGAAAAGATTTCAAGTGGAAAAGTTGGCGAGACGTTCCTCGGCTCTCTCTCTCTCTCTCTCTTTCTCGTCTTTCGTTATACTTTGACCCATATTTCCACGACGAGTGTGGATAAAAGTTTCATTAAAGAGTTGATGATCTTGATTTCGATTATTTCGCTTGTATAATGTCTCCCGGAAGAGTGTAACGTCTGGCAAGTGGTTATATACGTTTGACCCGGTTTCCGAATAAAACTCCAACGACCGGCTTATAATTGCTAAGTATTCCGCTCTTGCGGTTCCTTTCCCCTTTCACGTGTACGCGCGGGCAAGATCCTTCGAACAGGCCAAACTTTTTTCATTATCTTTCGCGTCCTCGATATCGATATTTAAACCGTTCAAGAGGGGGGGGAAGAATACTCACCGGTACTTTTCACGGTAGGCGAGGCGGATGGCTGGGCGAAGAGGACGTGCGTACCTCCTAGAAGGGCCAGCACGACGCGAAAAAACTTCATATTGATCATGGTTGCGTCGTTATTCCATGGAACACCTGAAACCAACCGAGAAAATTGTCGGTTAATACACGCGGTTGCATTAGAGATACAGACACATCCACCGACGATGAACCCTTCCTTAAAATGGAACACCGTTTATGCATTAGACCACTTCCTACTACCCATTTGCAAACCGCCAAACTGTAATTGCGTTTACCGCTACCATTATCGAACCTCGAAATTTTTAACCCTTTAGTAGAGAAGAATTCGTTTACAGAAAATATTCTACTCTTTGAGAAAAAGAAAGAAGAAAACCCGATCTTAACCTGGCACGCATTCAATTATAGAAGAACAAGACGATGCTCGTCCAATTTAGATACGAGACCACGTCATCTTAATATCCCTGAAGTGTTCCCAAAACCATAAGTCAAGATCACTCGAGGCGAGCTCTGCTTCATTTCCCGAATTCGTTCTGGGATGCGCCGCTTCTTAGGGAACACACAGGACTCTCTATCTCCGTAGTTCAGAAGCCTTTCCGTCCCTCGAGTCCATGACTACAGCTCCACCTTCGAGGGAGAATTACTCGATTCTCCTCCTAACGTTAATATGCCTCAACCCTCTCCTATCTACGCTTCGTTACGTACGCTTCTTCTCAGATACGTAAAAACTCAACAAAAAAAAAAAAAATATCCTCGCCATGAAGCAAATCTATTTTAAATCCTCGTATTTTTCCCCTGCCTCGTTGCGATCCGAAACGTGGTGTTTTCGCTCGGCCTCGACAGTGTAGCATATTAATTTCCGATAAATCAACCAACTCTACTCCTCCAACCCCACCCACCTCTCTTTATCGAAACGCCACAGCGCCGAGCCGCAGCGATCCGATCGCTGTATCAAAATCTCATTTAGCTCAGAAACGGTTGCCGCGGCTTTTGTTTTATTTTTGGCTTTCCCTTCTCGCCGAGAAGGAAGCCGAAGCAATGAGAGATCGAGGATCGGTTCGAGCAACCGGCGTCGAATTTCAGCAACGCAAGCTATTCGATATTCCCCTCTCTTTCTCTCTTTCTATACGCTTGCCCTTTAATTATTGCATTTTATTGTATTTATCCCGGGATTATGATTTTCATTTCGAGAACATCGGACGCGTGAAAAGGTGATTTGATACGAAACGAAAGGCTTCGAGAAGATATATCCTTCCAATCGCAAGCGAGAAAACGAGATTTTTTTCACGATTTCACGAGGATGGAATCGAACGAAGCGAGAGAACAAAGAAAGAGGATTTAATAAACGGAGGAGGAAAGGGAAGAAAATTCGTACGTGGGCGATAAAAATTTTGCAACCGAGTTGAATGACCACAATTCCATTGCGCTTCTCGATTCCTCCTCTTTTTTTTCGCCCTCCTTTTCCTCTCCCTCTCTCGTCTCGAGACAAATACCTTACTTTTCGAGTATCTAGCGAATATACCACGCTCGAAAGTTCGGACGAGATTTCCGCGCGATGCTTGTGGACACTCTTATTCATGACGAGTTTGCTCGACCAACTATCTGACACAGCTCCTCCAGCGCGAGCAGGGATTGCACGTCGGACGATTTATCACGCGATACATGTCCGAGCCGAGATAGGGGCGTAGGCAAAATCCTTCGTGGCTCTCCGGGATTGAACAGGATTGTAGCTTTATATTTTGGAGGACGAGGGAACGGAATTAACTGCTTCGCGCGCATAATCTTTCGAGTTTCGTTGAAACGTGTACTTCTTCACGCTACTTGATTTCTTAAAAAAAAAAGAAATATGATATGAAGAATAAAAATTACAAAAAGGAACGATTCTACATATATATATATATATATAAACCGTTGCTCGAACGAGATATTAAATTGGGGTAAACAAAAACGAAAGATAATCATTTTACGAGGAATCGTAAAATACATTGTGCTCCGAATATAACTCTTACCCTTTTGCGCAAACAGAAAGAAAGAGAGAAAGAGAGGAAGAGAGAGAGAGGTAGAAAGTGTACACAAGGAACAAAGCACAAGTAGAAATAGCACGAGAATGGAGCGGAGAATATCAAGTTCGTTTCAAGATTCGCGAAATCTCATTTCCAGCGTGTTCGAATGGGGAGGGGGAGAGGCGGGTAAACGGGGAATGGAAAGAGTTCGTTATTGCGGGATCGCGATCAAAGAAATCGATGAAACCGAACCGCGGTCATAAATCATGGTTCTGCGAAGAAGGTGGGAAAATAAATGTCCTGCCTGACTGGCGTTGAAAGACTTTGCGGTGTGGGGAGGGGGAGGGGGGGGGGGGACAATTTACGATTAAGTCGTGTGACGTATCGAAGGAGAGCGTTCGAATAAATCTCACGTCATTTAGCAATGGTTCCACCGTTGGAAAACGCAAGGTTTCACGGTTGTTCGAACAGGATTCCATGATAAAGAGAATTCATGATAAACGAGGAGAGTTTGACCGAACCGTTTAATCCTGTAATCAACGATCGCGAACTCTGTCTCACTCTCACGCTCTCACTCTCTCTCTCTCTCTCTCTCTCGATGGTGGTCGCGTCGTGGAAGAAATTTCAGTCGCGTCTCTGTGGGAAGTTCGTTTCGAAAGGAAAGTTAGCGGTGTACGTTGCCGCAAACAACGTGGAACGCCTCTTAGGAATCGCTTTGTTATCGGTTTATACGTTTAGAAGTTTGCACCGGCACCGAAAGTCCGGAAACTTTATCTCATCCCGGGAAAGAATGGGCCCCCGTACGTCTTCGGGTAATGTTTATCGATCTTCATTTACAACTTCCTCCCCGGTGATGCGGTTCCGTATCCCTTGCGTGTAAGAATACACGTTAACTCGATTCGTGGAACAACGTGAAAGATAATATGTGGAAACTTCGAGAGAGAGAGAGAGAGGGAGAGAAAAAGAAAAAAAAGAAAAATCTAAATCCTCGTGCAAACTTCACTGGAATCGGAAAGAATGGGACACGTGGTGCATCGAACAGGATCGGGGACAAGAAGAGCGCTCAAGGAGAGTGGAGCACAATAGTTGTTTCAAAACGAAGGGAAACGATGGGTATCGTTGTGCTACTGCAGCAAATTCGAGCAACCGTGAATAGGGGATGACTGGGTTCTTTGAAGCGTGCATTTTTCGTAAAATATTCATACACGTATCCACACCACAGCCCGAGTCAGATACACCGTAACCCATCCCCTCTATTACCCGCTTTCAAGTAGCGAAAGAGCACGAGAGTCACGACTACATTCGTGCGCGCAACCCTCTGCCCGACAATAGGTTCTACTAAACTAAAGTAACGTTAAGTCTCCTCCCTTATTCAACCGACACCCCCTCTTCCCTCCCTCTCCCTCTCTCTCTCTTTCTCTCTCTCTCCACCCCTCCCTTTTTTTAACTCTATGTCTATCTTTCGAGGATCGACACATTGGCCAGGATTGTATAAACGGTAAAAGACTCCCGAAGCATCCCTGCTCGGAGCGAATAAAAGAATCAAGAGCTGAAATTCGAGAGTCGGGTTACACCGCGTTTCCGGCAAACCGCGTATCCCCGAGCCATGCTTCCGTGAGCTTTATACAAGCTTTATACGAAACACATCGATGGGATGTTTGAGCGTGTTCGTTTCCAGGAATAACCCTCTCTCTTTCTCCCAAATGTTGCCTAGTCTACCATTCGTTCCCAGAGCGAGTATTCGTTCACGAGAGGATACGAGAGCGAGGATGGGGTATCGCGCGATACGTAAGACAAGCTCGAAACGTTTTTCCTCGTAATTTCACGGTGGCGCTGGTTTAAACGGCGTAATCCTCGCATCGGAACGCGCGCCCTTCCACCGAACTTTAATGCAGATTGCTGTTTAAATGGGAACAATCGACGCCATTATCGGGATGGATTTGCAGCGATCACGGTACCGGGGGGGGAGGGATAATTTGCGCGAGTGAAGTCTATCCGAATATCGCGAATTGCGCATTTCGTTTGTTATTTCGATTTCGCGGACACGATTACACGAACGAGTTAAAATCATCGGATCGAATTGATTTCTCCCCTCGTTTTCCTTCCTCGTCGAGAGATATAAATTCGAGTCTGTTTCACGAGTGGAGGAAAGAAGACGAAGAGGTAATTCCCTTAAATTGGTCTCATAAACATTACGTCGTATCGTACATCCCGCTATCGCGCACAATCGTCGTGATACTGTCGTGATGCTGTCGTGAACGCTTGCTTAGCGTTCCGTATTGTCAATTTAAATCGCTTTGGATCGGTGTCAAGCGGATTGCGTATTGCGTGGTCGCGCGTCTGCGATCGTGCAAACACGCGATCCCACGTCGCTGAAAATCAACATGGATTCTACTTTGCATATATTCGTATTTGTACAGTACTCGATACTAATATTATCTATACGTCAATCTGTACGCGCGACGTGTATCCTTTTTTAATTCCTCAAAGCGTATCAAAACGTATCGGCGTACAAAAATCTACTCTACTAACAAAATGATCGATTCGATTTTGAACCGCGCTTATTTTAAGAATTCGAAAACGATCTCGTTGATTAAAAAATAATGGGAGAAATTACGAAAGTACGAAAATTCCCGCGCGAATATTTTTCGTTAACTTGCAAATCAATCGATATGGGGATATTTATTGTAAAAAAACTCGGGAAAAAACTCGGCGTTAAATGAAATTCAAATTTCGTAACAGAGAACGGAACGTTTAATTGGCATGTTACAAGTAGATACGAGCCGCAACTAATCCAGAATGTTCTCGCGTGCAACAATACGGTCCAATTGAAAAGAGCCCTCCTCCAAAAGCGCGGCTTAATGATCACATCGTGAATCGCCGTTTCATTTTCGACCGCGAATTTTTTAAATCTACAGTGACTTGCAAACTCGTTGTTTGTCTTTTTTTTTTCGCCGCCGCGTACGAAGCTAATTACGCTTGCGGAAAGTTGCATTACTTTACGACACGCGGTAACGAAACGCTCGCGATAAAAATTTCTGCACAAAGAATAATTCTGTATAAAATATACCGTTCCAAATCCTTTCACTACTTCCGTCCCATCCTTCTTTTTTTTAAGCGTTTAATATTCGCATTTATTTACTTCGTATATCAATGTTCGCAATAGGCGAATCGTACGTCTTTAAAATCGTTACTAGATTTATCGAAAAATGATAAAAGTTGTTTCAATCCGTCGACAATATCGTCCATTTATATAAACAGAGTCGATTATTATTGGAATGGAAAAAAGTTTTTATTCCGGTAGGATAAAAAGAGACAATAAGTGAAAATTTATTCCCTTTTTCCATCAACCGGAATAATTTTTTTTTTTTTTCTGTTCAATTTATAAGTTTTATCATTCAATGGATGGATTTTAGAGACGCACGTTGCCCGAAAGAAAAAAACGACTCCTCCTCCCGGCAAAAATTGTAAAATTTCAACGTGTTCTTCGAAACGTGTTCAATCGATGGAAGATTGTGAACGAACGAGTCAATATTTGCCGCGTGTCAAAGGATCATATCGCTTCGAGTCGCGTGATTTCTTCCTCGATACGTAGGCGAACATTGGCGAAATCGCGATGTAGCGAAAGGGCAATGTAACAAAGTTCTCCGTGACTCTCTAACGCGCTCGTAACTCTGTCAAATATATCTGGTTTATTACACACCTTTGCCCCGTATTTTAGACACGTTTTTCCACCGCGTCGTCGAATATTACGCGTTAATAAATATCTCGCGTTCCTATTAAACGAGTCGACGATGCTCCATCGATATCGCGATTTCCAATTTCAACGATCGACGAGAGCGAGGAGATCGACGCGAGCCAATTATTAAACGAAACAATTCAAATTCCTCGTATCAACATTTGTCTCGGATACGACGACTACTAAACGTTTAATCATCCGTCTCGTTTTCGATTAACTCGATATTACCCCCACGGAGAGTGCATTAAGACTAGCAATTAACCCCGTAATCCGTCGTCGCGGACGGATTAACGCGCGCCAACGCTTTAATACTCGACTTGCCGGTAACACGATTCCAAGATCGTTGCAACGAATTCGCGACAATAAAACACGAAACGCGAGTAAGGGGGCGAGCAAGAGTGTCGCTTTCGACCAACTAACAAGGGATGTTAAAAGGGTTTTAAATAATTCCACGTCGCTCGTGCTCGCCCCCTTCAACGATTAACCGGCGAGGCGGGGTGCAAACACGATTTTTCGAGACGGGCATAAATTCGTAGCGTCTAGTGCACTAATAGTACACGTTGTAACGCGTCTCTTGTCGCAAGCGCGGTAACATCGGTCCCGCGTGTCGCGCATTAATCCACTTCAAAGCGAAAAGGACGATGTCACGCGCAGAGATTCGCGGGATGACGTACCGTTTCCCTCTCCCCACGAGATATGGGATTCCCATTGATCAGAGCGGCGTTCACTTAGCGGAGTATGCCCCCGTCTTTGCATACGGCCATTGTCTCGGCTACGCCGCTAATAGGATATTCGCGGGTGGCCGGAATATCCCGGTCGCATGACAAATCTGCTAATCGGCCCTCGCCTATGAAACCGTATAGGGAATCGTTATGGCCGCGCGCGAGCCCATGAGTGATTAGTTTGACCCGTTTGTGGCGCGCACGGCTTCCTGAATATTGAACGGAAACGGGATTATATATTCCGGCTCCAGTTCGCAACGCGCTTTCGCAACCCTCGACAATACGTCGCTTTTTTTACGCCTCCTCCTCGTCGCCTTCGTCTCTTGGTAGCCAACTATCCTTTTTTCCTATTCCGGGAGGCCGTACGTTGAAAATCAAATCATTTTCGTAGGGAAAGGATAATATTTCCATGTTAATTAATGGCCTCCGATAATAATGGAGATCGATAATTTCGGTCGCGCGCCAAGGTGGACGCGAACTGTAAGATGCCTTATCTGGCGGAACAGCGATCGTCTAACGGAACATCGGGATCCACAATGATACATTATGACGCATGGTTATTGATACAAATAGCCGCGATATCGCGTGAATTTATTACGTGGGAAAATTATTCCACGTTGATATCGTTCGTTCCGTTCCTAGATCAACGGACAAGATACACGTTTATCTGATGCAGCCGAACCCTCTCCCCCCTCCCCCATCTCGAAATAGAATAATTGCAAAGTCAGACGCGCGGTGAAAACGCGCCGCGGCTCGAATTTAACGCGGGAATATATCAAGATTACCCGGATGGCGGGAGTGGAAACTTTTAAGACCGATTTTTCCGCGTTGAGAGAGAGAGAGAGAGAGAGAGAGAGAGAGAGAGAGAGAGAGAGAGAGAGAGAGAGGAACAGAAAAGTCTATTTGAAAGATTCGTTGAAAGTTATAAGAGGACACGCCCATGGATTTTTTCGTTTTTTTTTCCTTTTTACGCGACACGCAAAAAACGATTCCAATTACGATGCGAGGGGAAAAAAAAAAAAAAAAAAAAATATGGAAGTTCTTCAAAATTGGACCGACAAATGTTACACACACTCGCGAAAATAAATTCCAATGAAAATTTCAATTTCGTCGCGTTACCACCGATTCGTAATTTTAACCTCGATCGCGAAAAAGGGAATTCGACGAGGGTGAAGGGAGAAATTGCGCGATTCCGAGTCGACCGATGACAAATGTCTGTCAACAGGAAAGACTGGAGAATTTCAGTAACCGTGGAAGAGTCGGTCGTTGATGATTCCCCAACGCTATCACTATTATCGAAAGCATTCGAGTTAACCGTGTTCGAGCATCCTAGGCGTCGACCGGGCTATGTACACAAGCATAACTACTTCCTCTCAACCCTTTTGTTCGCCGAGCTGTTTCCTCGACCCTTGCCCCCATTCCCCTTCGTTCTTCCATCAATCATTTCAGTTTCGCGCTAGATTCGTCCATTATACTCGCTTCCCTATCCTCCTTCCTATCCATCCTATCCATCGTTTCGAAACTCGTTTTCAAACTTCGATACTCGAAAACGCGAGCAATTTCCCTGATAACGTTCGCCGATAAATTTTTTCCCCTTTCTTTCTTTCTTTTTTTTTTTTTTTCCTTTTCATTTTTTGAACAAATTTCCAAATCACGGGCGTCTAATATAACGGGACGTAAATTGCATCCTGTTCCGAAAGGGTTGCTTGTCGCGTTAAATTCGTAATCGGTGAAATGGTATTTGGTTGTTGGAAACGTGGTTGTGCGTAGTTTCGAAAAGGGGCGTTCCTTCAAACGAGCATCGTATCCCGATCGAATGGCGCGGTAACAAGAATAATTCCACGTAAATAGGATTATTTGTCGGCATTCGTTATCAGTTAGGAAATTTATTCCCATTTCGCAGCGGCGATCGAGCCATTCGTTTCGAAAATTATCCGAGAAACATCGATATGGTCGAGTAATTGTGTTTTCGCGAAGGGATTATTAAATAAAACGAAACTAAAATCCTGTTTATCATGGCGGTTGTTTTTCGGAAAAATATCCGAGGGAACGCGGCACACCGCTGCCAAATGGGAACTGTTGCAAACACGGCGGATGGAATGGTATTCAAAAATGATCAGATTTCCCGGAGGACGGTATTGAATTTGATCGGACTCGCTTAATTAAGCACACATTGTGCCCGTTTCAATGAAGTTGTTCGCATTCCGATTATAATATAAAACCGAACATCGATAGACGAATTAAGAGGTCGAACCTCTAAAGGTCCATTTTGACCATTCTTTCGACGAGAAGTTAATAAAGTTTTCGACTCGATAATCGAAGATTAAGATTATTCTCTTGACCGTTCGTTAAGAGATTTCACGTGCGAAGAGAAGAAAGAAGAGAGAGAGAGAGCAATTACTCGAGGATGACGGAGAAAACAAACGAGATCGATTAAAATATATTTATGGCCGTTTCGAACTGTGTGAATTTTAAAACGACGTAGCAATCGTTTAACGATAAACATTTTTAAAATCGACTAGACAGCGAATTACGGGCTGTTTAACCATTCGATTCGGGTCGCGAATTCACGTCCATAAAATATCGCAAACATTTTACGACAGAAACACTCGGTGGCTCGGTCGTATATTTGCATTCGAGTTCGGACACCAAGTTACTGTTTCGATAAATTTTGTAGATGATGTCGATTTCGTCATGCGAACGCGCCGTAAATATTTGTCGAACGTTTTATCGAAAGAGTTCAGATTCATTTTATAACGCATAACTTTTGTTTAACGCGAAAAATACAATATCCCTCCACCCGTCATCCTTCTTCCCTTTTCTTTCTCTCTCTCTCTCTCTCTCTCTCTCTCTCTCTCTCTCTCTCTCTCTCTCTCTTTCTTTTCCACCCCTTAAATATCATTGTCTCCGTTAAATCCAGATTAAAGTCTCGCAACGAGGAAGACGTTTAATACCTTCTCCGTTCTCACTTACGAGGATTAGAACTTATAAATCGTGATGGTGCATGCGAGGAAAGATGATTAAAGTATCAAAGTATCCGAACTGCGACGTGGTGGGAATAAATTTAACGCAGCATTGTCTCGGGAAACTAATAACGCCCCGTCGAAAGCAGCCCTCAAGGATCTAATGCGAGTTGGAGTATCGGTAAACTTTATCGGGAAAGAAGACTGACTGAAATTTTAATAAAGACCTTAGGAAGTTTGTCCTGCCAGCTACTCCAGACTTTCCCCTCGATCACCACAATCTATTCCATTCGAAACAATATTTCTTTACGGGATTATCCTACCCTCCTTATCGCCCTACCCTCATCGACACGATACCTCAACCTCGCATTCTTTATTAATCATTCCTCCAATTACAACCTACCCTAACTCGACCGTAAGAGAGTTACCGACGCTTAGCTCAACGCTCGCCTTGCAATCTCGAAAAATATCTATCTATCTAAAAAAATTTCGCGTCGAAACGAAATATCGAAGAAAACGACACGAAACGCAAAACCGTGAAACGAAATTGCAACGATAATAATAACAGCAATCCGTATCGGACAATTCGTTTTTATCAAATTTCAATAAAGGGAAAACGGGGATTGAAAAGGATCGATCGATACGCTGTACGATAAAATAAAAAGGGCGTAGAGTGGCTCGAAACTCACCTCCAATCGTATTTCCTTTGTTGCAAACCCGTCGAGGGCGAGCCTCGCCTTTGATACACCGTGGACCGCGTGCAGGGAGCCAGACAATGCCACGAAATCAAGCGTCGCGATTGCGGTTGAAACTCGTGCAACTCCGTTCTCGCACTCTCATGGATCCTTGACCGCCCTCCAACACCTTCACCCGACGCTCGTCACTTGGAAAACCTTCCCTATCCACCTTCTACGTATATCACGCACTTTCACAACCCCTTCCCCTTCTCCTTCGATTGATCCTCGCCTGCGAGTTGATCTCTCTCTCTCTCTCTCTTTCTCTCTCGTTCGCGTGACCGTGTCGAACACGAGCGACGTATTTTGCGTTACGCGACGAGCACGAAACGCGATGTAACGCGTGTAACTGTATGCATATGGATACGTTTCGAGGGCGAAAATACGTTGGCAAAAAAAAAAAAAAAGGGGGGAAATCGGCACACCGTTACTCCATTTCCGAGACGATAATAATATTTCCCCGTCGCGTATCGCGCGACACTTGTTGTAATTACGGGCGCAACGTGCGTGGAAAGAAGAAGGCGGCGGTAAAGAAGAGGGAAGGCTCGAAGGGAGAGCGATGGACGTTAGGAGGAACGGGGAGGGAAAGTTTCGATTGCCGATCGATCCGGCGATCCGGATATCATTCGGTGAAACATACCCCGTGGCAGCTGGCGGTCGCAATTTTCGAAATATCCGACCTACAAATCATTCGCGCCCCAGTAACCAACCCGCGCGCACTTTAATTTCGTTCCTCTCCTCTTTTCTTTCCTCGATATTTCTCTCCCTCGCCCTCTCCCTCCCTCTCTCTTTCTCTCTCACCCTCTCTTGTTTTTCTCCTCTATGTCGTCGCGCTTCCTTTCGAAACGAGCGAGACACGGTTTTATTTATCGGCGATCAACGGGGCGGGGAGGGGGGATCGATGCCACGGATCTAACACTTGCACTGGTGTAATAATATTCATGCAGCCGAGCATGGTGCATCGTCACGAAGCGCGTCGTGCATTCCTTGACACGATTACGCATCGGATGCGCGACGGAAACTTTACGCCCGTTTACGTCGTTTATCATATATCCCTTGATTCCGCACGGTCAGCATCCAACGATCAGATCGCACCGGTATCCATTTTTTCTTCCACAGTGGAACAGTCAGAGAAAGATAGGAAGAAAAAAAAAAGCACTCACTACGCAGTTTAACGAATAAAATCACGCACAACGTCGTTTCCCGTGGAACGAAATTCTCGCACGTCTATCGTCCTCGCGACTCTGTGCCCGATTGCGACGATATTGTTATTTCCCCCTCTCTCGACGGCAACACCGTGCTCGAAAATTTCCTGGAATTTCTCGCTGCGAACTTTCGTGTATATAAACGAAGGATTAAACGGCGCAGAAATTTTGTGTTTACAAAATCGAAACGAGCACGGGCCGTATTCGAATTTTCAAAACAAACACTCGCGTTTCTTTTATACGACACATATACGTTTTCTCGATCTCGAGGACGTGCATCGAACGTTCGAATATTCCTTTTTTAAATCCAGCATTCCTCGTGGATGGATCCTCGTGTCCACTTGCCGCCGATTTTTCCATTTTTTTCACACGCTCGTGGATCGCACCGTCACGTCACGATGCACCGTCGCGTTCGCCGGATGATTCTTCTTCCGTCTCGTGATCATGGCACGTCGAGGGCAAGGAGAGAATTTTTTTTTTTCCCGACCTCGACTCCCGTTTTTTTATCGTATCCCCACGGTGGCCACGATAGTTGGACGCCGCGTTTCCGTGGGTGTCGCGTTGAAAAGGGGGTCGAAAGCGTGGCAAGAATCGTGAGGACGGAATCTTTTTTCCCTTTCCTCGAAAAGTAGTCGCACCTTGGCGGGGGATGCGCGCGCGAAACCACCACGAGTGATGCTGGGCTCGGACTGGAGCCTCCGGCGTGGCGCTAGCGTCGCCACGACTCGGGCCAAAGCGGAATCACCACCACCCCGCGCCCCGCCCCGCCGTGTCCACCACCCTGATCGGCCACGGGGTGGTAACAGTGGCGGAGCCCGCCAATCTACTACCCCGCGCCTTCTTCTTCCTCCTCTTCCTTTTCCTTTTTAACATTTTCCTGAATTATGCGTCGAAACGAGTGTTTCGGACGGTGGAAAATTATCGATTCGAAAAATTGTTAAAAAAAATTGGAAAATCGTGGAGAGAATCTCTCTCGTCGGTGGAAGGATTTATCGAGCGCGAAGACGTCCGTCCAGACGTTAAACGCATTCCTCTCTCCTTCTCTATCATTTTTTTTCGCGAGCGAAGACTTCGCCATCTTTCATTTTTATTTTTAACAATTCAAGTTCGAATTCAAATTTCATCTGTAAATTTCTAATTAAATTTCTAATTAAACAACGCGATATTGTCAATATACGATTCATAAAGAGAGAATGTATTTTTATGTCGAGAGAGAGGGAGTTGGAATTGAATCTCAAGTTAATCTCAATTTGAGCGAATTTGAAGAAATCCTTATCCTTTCCATTCGTCTTATTTCTATTGTTGAAAAGACAAATAACGTAATTATATTTGAATTGTAGCATCCTTTGAGAAGCGGATTTCGCAAAAAGTTAATGTAACGGCAAATCTACTCAATAGTAAATATACTTTACGTACTTTGATGTAGTACGAAGAGATTACATATAATCAGATAGAATAAGTGATGAATATTTATTAATTTAAATTAATCGAGATCGAAGTGTTGCACAGATGCGCTTTCATTTCGGATACTTAATTTGATGAGATTCGCTTTAACGATTCCTCTTTCGAAATTAGAAACGGAGACGCGATGGAAAAATACGTAAAACGTAAGCATGTTTCAAAATTCGAGATATTGCGAGATCTTCAAGATTTTACAAGATATGTATATATTTATATGCTTCGTTACGGAATCGTTACGAAGAATAATACTACTGTAGATATAAATGATTCGGAGTTTATTGTAAAATCTTGGACGGTTCTTAAGGTTTCAAAACTTGACCGCAAAACTAAGCTGAAACTCAACTTTTCGCCCGAGAATTCAACTTAAAATTAAAGTTTAAAGACTTATAACTTCGTAACGCGCCGCCCCGCTTGATCCCATGGGCGAGGATAGTTAACTCAATAGCCTATCTTTAAAACGTACGAGCGCATCGAGGCCCCCCTTTCCCCCAACATAAAATACCAACGATATCGTGTGCATAATAATTTCGTGGTCCCTGGAATAATTAACAGGTAAAACAATGGTCGATAATAAACAACAATACAATCGATACAAATAATAATTTTCTCGACTTCATCATCGTCGGAATAATATTGAACGATTGCACACGTTCGTTGGTCAAACAAATGGAAATTCGGGAAACGCAATATTCACGAAACAACGTTTTCGTCTAATTTGTTAAAATGTTTGCATCGTTCATCCCTTCCCCTTCCCCTTATTTTTGCGTTTTATTTTTCTGTATTATTTTTTTTTTTTTTACATATAAATAAAAATCTTGAAAAAAAAAACGCCTCGACTTCTTTTTTATCACCTGTATCGCGAAATATTCGGTGTATCCGTGTGCCGCGAGCGTATTCCGTGAAACTAAGTTAATTAAAACGTGATATCAGATATCGGTTTGCGCGAGACAAGCGCAACTGCAGGACGATGGGACCGTGACGAGGGAAGGAGGGAGGTTGATGTCTCGTGCAAACTGAGCGGACCAACGAAATAACGATTGTGTCGTTCCAATGGTGGTAGTTATTGTTCTACTTGGGACATGATCAAAAAACCAAAAAAGATCGGATCAAAAAAAAAAGAGAGAGAACAGGAATGAGACGAGAGAGAGAGAAAGGGAGAGAGAGAAAAAAAAGATCGGTCGCAATAACGAGGACACCGACCTGCACCCCATTCGTCTCTGTCCGTTCTTTCGTTGGAGGAATTAAGCGTTATAGCGACGTTACGCTAAGAGACATCAATTTTCGCACTGGGCTACATCCCGGATTGCTAAGTCTCCCTTTTTAGAAACAAAATAGGGGAAAAATCCAAGTAATAAAATTCCTAGCGATTGCAAAATTTTGCGAACAAGAGGGATAATACATAAGGGGACTTCAAAGTTATCGCGATTCAGTTCGACGATTTAATTATAAATTCATTTTTTGATCGATCGAAAGCAGAGACGGGAATTATTTGCCAAGATTCGCGCGTACAATGAATCTTGAGAACAGAAGGAAAAGCGGGAGAACGTCGATTAATTCTTATTGTCAGGATCGGGCAGAGTCGAAGGAAAATATAACATCCTTGGATGACCACCTGATCTCGGAATAGGATCGACTATCACGATCTCGATTCCAGAGAGGGACAATTGGATCGGTCGCTTCGCTCCAACCGTTCGAATTTCGGACCCAATCGGATTTGTACAAAGTGTTCATTTAAGAACGTAGCTTATTAAAAACCCTCCACCACCCTTTGTTCCCTCTACCCTCTACGCTTCCTTCATTCGACCGGTAATTTGAATTTTTTTCTTTAAAACGTTTCCAATTAATTTTCCGATTCCCAATTACTTTTTTTTTTTTTCAAACGATCACGCGAAGTATAACATAAATCTAGGCTAGGGTAGGAAACGATGGTAGTCGGGCCAATGCTCTAATTAAAATGCACAACCACGACACATCGGCATAAGGGAATATTGTACGCACGATTGTACAGCTGAACGTGGAAGGATCCTTCGACGGCGCGAAACTAGATTGAGAGGAAATTAATTAAGATGGCACTGTCCGGGATCAAACCACCCCTTTTCGCACACCCTATCTACCGACTTGTGCAGGAACATTCCATGCATAGCTTGCGGCTACATCTCAGGCTGCTACATCACCAAATCCTGTCCCTTCCACCGCCTTGCACCCTTTACCCAGCTAGTAGTAGACACCATTCCCTCGCTGGTACCGGAAACTGCGCACGATGTATTCGTGGCGCCAGGTATATCCATCTATATATTCGTGTTATACAACGATGATACTATCCATTTACACATTTCAATAACAATCACCTCACAGCCGTTTCTCTCTCGTCCATGAATATTGCTCTTCGTTAAATCGAAAGATTGAAATTTAGATCCAAGTTTAG